TACACTTGGTGTATCTTATTCTACAACCAAAGTTTCTGAACTGTAGAGTAAAGAAAAGAAGACACAAAGACTGACAGAGCAGAGAAACCTGCTTAATGGCATTCCTTTGTAATCCAAATTAATTCTTCACATAAGATTGGTGGTGAATAAATAATAATCTTCAGGGTTAACATGACCTGGATTAACTATGAATTATGGTTTAACAGCATTAAAGGTGCTGTTTCTGTCTAACAATTTGGAGGACAAAGAACCCTCTGAGAAGATAAGAAAAGCCATTATCACAAACCAAAACAATTCTTAAGGCTACAAAGCAATGGTCAAAGGTCACGGAAGTTCATAATGTAGTCTTGAACATTCACTGTCATGTAACTAGAAACATTCTCCCAGAATGTGTAGCTTAAAGGTACCCAGTGTTTGAAAACAGCATACTTTATACTGTATATAGTTTATTTGTCTATAGATTCATTTATTGTCCATCATCAGGGCAATGACCCCCAGTAAACATTGGACAGCACGATAAAAAGAGAAATATGAAATGTTTTAAAGTGTCTAATCATGAGTCCTGACCTTAAATGCCACAACAATCCCTTAGAAGACCTGAAATGAAATCTGAATGGCAACTGGGAATCATTTCCATTTTGCATACACTTGTTGGTTTTCCAGAAGGTATTAAAAAACTTACAAATGCAAGTCTTCTTCTCAATTTCACATTAATTCCTTTTTAAAAGATCAGTTTCACTCAACCTGCCAATCAGCAACAATTCCCACCATGCAAGTAAAACAAACGCTGCAATCAATAGTTTGATAAATTAGTTTCCAACAGAACCTCAAATAAACCAGCTAATCTGTTCCCGTCTTCTGGGTTCATCTTTAACAAAGAGGTGACAAAAATGTAGATGGAGCAAAAAACACACAAAAAACCTCAGAAAGGACCAAACAAGTGACTTAGGTTGGAGAGCAAAGACCCTCCAAAAATGATATCATTAAATTTTCAGCTGATATTATTTTGAGCGTGCACCACCAGGGCCCTTCTGTGTACCGCGATCAGGTAAAACCCCTCATCAAGTGGTGTGACATTAAACATCTCATTCTAAATGTCGACCATGAAATAATATGAATCCGTGCAGGGCATGTGTGAGCAAGCACTGAGGGCTCATCTTCCTTTTGTCTCTGGACACAGAACTCAGCTTCGTGCTCCGAGCTTCGTGCTGCTGCTGAAGTTTAATGCCACTTGTGTGTGTGTTTCCGTGATGTTTTTCCCTTCAGCTTTCACACAGATAACTAGACTAACTAGATCTAAATGCAGGAAAAAGAAAAGTGTCTTGCTCTACTAAATCTTTTTTAAGGAGAATAAATAGGTTCCCCTAACTGGTATGGACATCAATGTTGTTGTATTTGCAGACAGTACAGCTGTGTGATCTGTACTTCAGTGATATTTCCTCCAAAATCTGTCTTAAAAAGGCTACTTTTTCTTCTCTGGTCGAAGTGCACACACTGCATAATGCAGAACAACTCCACAGAGAGCTCCGAGTTGTGAACCCAATTTTGCAAGACACCCTAAATGAAAGGATGGGGAGACAACAATGTGTTTCTGTGGACTTGTTCTGCTTGTTGTGGAGATTACTTTGGAGGCAGGGGGCATTGTGTTGCGATGATAGTCAGTGAGAAAAAAAAAAAAAAAGAAAAGTCGTGCCGTGCTGAACCGGTTCTGCTTTACAGTTGAGGGATCGCGGGTCAGGATGGGCGCTCGGCCTTCATGTGCTCGTGACCCCGAGTGTCAAGGTCCTGAATGTATATTCTCTGATTACATCTCCTGGAGTGGGAAAAAAAAATGCAAATAATAAATGTATGAGCAACGTGCTTGTTTTTTTGCTTGATTAATTATGCCGTTTAATTCCAGAACCACCACGCCGCTCCACCGTATAATTTCCCAGTGGTCTTGGCTGTTTCTTCTCTCGTATGCGCTTTCTCTTTTTTTTTTTTCCTTCATTGGAAAATGAATCATGGATCCAACCGTCTGTACCCGGGGGAAAGCGGCGAGCTGGCGAACAGGCTGACCAATCATGAGCATCAGAGGCAGACACACAGACGGAGGCAGCCTTTTGTTGTGCACTGCGCTCATCAACTTAGAAGACAACCAGCGATTTGGCCTGAAGAAAATTAAAAGATTGAGTGCAAGGAGAGAAAATAGCCAACTCCATCCGTGTTTGTCGAATCTGTTTTTTTTTCCCCCTCCCATTCTTGTTATTTTGAATCTGGTCCGCCTTCCTCTGTGATCTCCAGATTATCCAATCAGGCCGTCCGGTGTGTTTATCTGAGTGGGTGGCAGAGTTTCAGTGCCATTCATTATGTCGACTGGGACCCTGACTGCTCTTCTATTCCCAGCCTGGCCAACCCTCTCTCAGCCTCTTGACAGTTCCAGGTTAGCCCTCTTTCCCAGCTCCCCTGGCACTTCTCTTCTCTTCCCTCCAGCTTTCCCCTCCAACTCTCCCAGGGGCCCCACTGAGAATACTGCTCAGATCCAGGCCTCTGAGCCCCAAAGCCGGTCCTAATCCTCTTCATCGATCGTCCTGAGAATTTCCTCCCCAGCACAGCAGGCCCGGCTCCCCAGCGCTCACACTCCTCAACCCTGAAAAGCCAGCACTTCTCAGTCAGAGAGACGGAGAGAATGGGTCTATAGGCACATTACCTATGTCTCCTCACCAGATGGGTCTTGTTGTTTTTTTTTTACGTGTGTTATTAGGTGGTTATGGCAGGCTGCATGCTGCTCCTGTGAACGCCGGGGCTGCTACCTCTTCAAATTCAGTTAGGCTCTGCTGTGATCGGCTCAATAAACTCTGTAATTTCAAAGGGAACTAATGGTACAGTCTTGTCCCGATGCAGGATGAAGTCAGAATAAATCTTTTGTACTGTTTTCAGCTACAGTAATTTTCAATTAGAGATACGCTATGAGGTACTTCAGCATTTTTAAATTGGCTGTTGGAAAGATTGCAGTCTAACTTCTCAAAAGAAGCTGGAATCAACAAAAGCTGAAGTCAATATTTTTGGAATAGGTGGTTGGAAGCTAAATGATAGATGGATTTATTTGCAAAACGTCACGGGTAAAAGTACAGCCTGCAGCCGGTCTATGATAAAAAAGAGTTACGGGAAACAAAACTTTTCGGAATCAGTTCAATACTCGCAAGTTTAAAACGGTCACATAAAAATCCTGGCACCCACTGCCCTTATCAAGGTGAAAGTGCCTCTGCTAATACTGACCGAGAAAATAACTCGAGTTGCAATTACCCCTGATAAGTGTGGAACAGCAATTTTCTTTAGAGAAAAGCCCTTTGATGTATAGTTTCTTCTTCTTGCAGACGGTGGTCAGAACAGTCAAAGTGTTCGCTGTGAACTTGCCCGGATTCATGGTGAAGCTCAAAATAGTTGGTGTATCTGTAAAGAAGGATTGAATGGATTAGGGCTGAATTGTGCTTTTCGTGATGAATTCTAGTGTAAAGTATTTTTTAACTACGTTTGTTGTTGTTTTCACATCTGGTGGGGCTTGTCACAAGGTAAGCTTGTGACAAGCTTACCTTGTGACAAGGAGATTTTTAACATGAGGTAGTGCCTTGTGCAAAGATTTATTTTCACAAGACGTGACAATGTTTCCTGAACCCTGCCAAAGCTTAAACCTCAATAGAAAACTCCTGTATGCTGCAGACACACACAATGGCATTTTCTTTGCTCCCACAGACATATAATTCTTTTTAAATTTGTTGTTTCTCTGTATTAAAGACGGCTTTCAAATATAATGACAGAGGCATGTGCTACAATATGTGCACACAGGAAGTATGGCTGAAATCTCAGTGCATAATCGCAAAACAAATCAACTTTAAACTACGTGAAAATGATAATGTAGTAAGTCATAGGCTGCACAGTGGTGTGTGGGTCGCCTCACAACAAGAGGGTACCGTTACTAAACCTGAGTTTGAAAAATTAAGTAGCTAATGGACACGTGGAGCTCCTGGAACCAGGACGGGCCATATTTCCATCCATAATGCTGATGAAGATGGAGCAATGGAATATGATGTATTCTATACCGCTCTGCTGGAAGATGAGAAAGCATCATTACTCCGGTGCTCTTGGGAGAGCTCCCAACCAACACCCTATCCTGCACAACATGCTTGTTCATTATTTATTTACACACCAAGCTTTCCCTTAACTCCGCTGTGTGTCTTTTACTGCAAGTGTTGAGTTTTTTAGAGGTATTTTTATCTGTTTCTGTCTACTTGTGAACATGATTGGCAAGGGCTAGCATCTAGTGAAACAGCAGGTGATTAAACCTCGTTCTTTATTGATGAGATTTCTGTTTGCTTTCTCTGTAACTTCATCCTAATTTTGAATAAGAGAGGGACAATCAGAAAATTTGGGCCTGTCAAAATGCGGCTCTAGAACACAGTTGGAGAATGTGCGTCTATATTGGCATTTGACATCCATTGCAGATGGCATTGCGTCATGACTCTTTTAGAACATGCTTTTGCACCACTTATAAATCAGCTCTGGAGATGGGTTTGGCAGTATCTGCTTGGTTCAAAATGATTTAACTGGGATTTGGTGCATTGGCACAATATTGTTGCAATTTTAATCTGCACAGTAATTATAATGATAAGCATGAACATTTACCTTCTCTGCTCCTCTCTCTCCGGGCTTCCTTTGCCTTTATGTCATTAGCTTTTTTTTTCTGCCTGAGCTGACCACACACCCTTTATCCTTCACGCGCATATCAATTTTCGCAGCATTTCCCTACATTTCCTCACTCCCTGCCCTCCATACATCAGTGCACCACTCGTTCCTCTCGTGCCCTTCTTTCTCTGCTCTTTCCTCACACATGTTTCCTTTCCTCTCTTATTCTTTCACCCCATTTTACCCTTGCTCTCCTCCTGTCCGCTCCCTCCTCTCCTCCTCTCCTCCTCTCCGCTCTCCCTCTTTCTCTTTATTAATTTATTGGGTTGTTATTCTCCTTGCCTGGCTCGGCTAATGAAGGCAGGATGCAGATGAGGGCGGAGGTCATCTCCGTAGCGATCGACCCAACCGCCCCGCAGCATGGCACTCTGACTGGCACAGGTCAGTGGCAGCTGTCAATCAAAACACACACACGCTCATAAATTCACATGCACTCCCACCTACTATAAAATAAGGACACAAAAAAAAGTTGCTTGACAATTAACAGTTTATAATTACCTCACAAATCCATGTGCTTTAAGTCCATAATTACAGACTGGCTGTTGGTTGGCAGTGGGTTCTTTAACTTTCTGGCTCATGAAGCGCAGAAATTAATGTTCTCGTTTTTTGGACAAAGGTTTATTCTCCTCGGACAACCCCAGTGTGTGTGCAAAAATCGCCCAAATTTCACAGATGCATTTTTAAGAAAGGCAAAAAATAAAGGACATATCTGAAAAAGGAAATTAATGTGCTGAAACAAACACCTGAATCACTGGAGCATCCTGTAAACAGACATGAATATGATACACTATTAAACACGTGGTACATTCAAAGCAAAACACAAAAACGTAAACATTTACTTCCAAATTTAATAAGGTATTGGATTATCTTTAAAAAGTTAAACATTTTCAGAGATGTAGGGTTTATTAAGTTAACAGAGAGGTGACTAAAAGTGTAAAAACTGTGAAATTGCAGCATCGAAAATACTATTGGCTTTGTCAGTTGTGAGAAAAGACGTCATCCCTGTCCCCCCTAATGGTCATCCCTGCTTCTATCCAACCCAAAGAACTATCGGGGACAGCCACAGCTCTCATAATACACTCACAATACCGAGTGTTTGTGGCGAGCCATCAGGGTTGTATTGAACACAGCGGTGATGCATGGCGGCAGTTAAGAATAACTTTTAATATGATTAGGATTGTTAAGTAAATAATTTATTAAAAGACTTTTATGGGCTTCTTGCAGAGGTTTTAATGCACTCACAGTAATGAGCACAGTAGTTGAGGACCCTCCACTGCGGGCTCTTTGCTCTGTTGTGTTGTCTTGGGTTCAGAGGAAAGTCAAGCATGATAAAAACCTTCAGTATTGATTTTGTGTGTTTGTGTGTGTGTGGTCATTTGCTTAGAAAAAGAAATACCTGTTGACCTATTGTCTGCGATAGTTATTTTCCGACAACGCTGATAATATTCCTTTAATGATGCAGTTTAAAGGATTGCTCAACATGCAGATGATGAGCCAAATTAAGACCCACCCCCAGCTGCGCGTGCCTATCCATCACTGTGACTGCATCCATCTCAGACTCGCAATGTGTAAATTAACACGGAAACATTACCTGGTCCACTCTGATAGGATTGCTGTCATAACATTACAAACGTATGAACACAGCAAAGCAGTTTAAAAGGCAAACCTGAAATTCATTAAAAGACAAACAACCATCATCATTACATGACATCATATTTAAGAAATATATGAACTCAGAAGAATAGAAAAAATAGAGGTGGCAAAGAAAATGCACATTCACCCAAGAATGACGACACTTTGAGCGTAAAAGTAAATGAGCTATGTCCACATCCTTGGTTCAAATTTGAAATATTTACACAAGCAATTGGATGGATTGTTATCACATGATACACATTTATTCAAAGAAGCCCTAGAATAAATATTAATTACCTTGAAACTATCTTGAGTTTCTCTCCTGTGCAAACACAAGGTTAATGTTTATGATTCAGAGTGTAATATGTCAACAGTTTTCTGATGGGTCATCAGTATACCTGGCACCCACGTGTCACTGAGGCTAGACTGTAATCACTTTAACGTTGTTGCATTCATCAATTCAAAGTTTTGAGGGCTGATGTGGTCTATGACTGAATACCTGCTGAGATGCTGGGATTCCCTTCTGCGCTGGCCAAATTAAGATCTTAAACTACAAACACGGAAACATAAAAATGCTAGAGTAAAGCCTAGAACGGCTAAAGTAAAGTAAAGAGGGTTTTTGCACCTCTGTTTTTGCGTTCGCTGTTCATTTTTCTGTCATACTCTTGTGGATCAAAACAGCCCCTCGGAGACGTTGTGGACACAGGTGAGGAGCGTCCACTCTCACTTGTCTGCAGCAGCTTGGGAGCTCTTTGTCAGAGATAACACTCCATGCTCAGGACTCTCCTGAGGCCTGTGGTGTGAAAGGTTAGCGGTTTGTTAAGGGTGATGGAACACACTGCTGGTGGGGCCTCGGCATGCGCTGCGATGACATGCAAACATAACTCCTGTTGTTTGGGAGGCTCTTTGTTTTGTTGAGGTCGATTTGGCGGCGGCCGCCTTCGCTTTCATGTTGTCCGACCACCCTGCCTGGATGCGTTCTGCGCAAAAATGTCCCGATCGGGAAAATCCGTCCCCTCCCCATGTGGGAGTTGTAGGATGTTTGACATTAAAGGTCTTAACCTCAGTTTTGGTTCAGTTAATTCACACTCCCACCTTGTGAACTGTTAAGCCCATCTGCCGTCTCTCTAGCATGTAGCGGTGGATTTGTGGCAAACCAAGCAAGGTCATGAGAAAAAAATTCAATCTTATCGTTTTGTGAAAAGACTATCTGATGCCACACGATTTGTTACGGCGCTACCCATTTGACGACAAGGTTAAAAAGTACGGCGGACATCATACAGCTCTGCCTTCGTGGCAAACCCAATGTCGCCTGTTCCCCAGGCGGCACGCCAAGTTGGCAAAAAAAAGAAAAAAAGGCTCTTGATGATCAAAGTAATTTCTGTCAGTATTCTGTACCCACTCAAAACGCACCAAAAGGCTCTCCCTGTGGATGCTGTCAAATGCCTTTTGAAGAACACCTGCCTCTGCTTCTTTGTGCTAGGCTTGATGATGTTACGCAGAGTGACGATGTGGTTTGCACATCATCATCATCTTTCGCAGGAAAAAAACAGCCTGCTCCTTTCTTAGCCATGCATCAACTGTTTCCGAGATCCTCTGAATGATTATCTATTGGATCTTACTGGGTCTCACTGTGACAGTAGGAGAATCCAGAGACACATTTTTCCATTTTCTCAACAATATCCTCAGTGCAGTTATCTGAGACAGCTGAGAACTGCCACAGTCCAATGGAGCCTAATTTCTATTTTCAAACTCATCTCTCATCACTTTTTTTCTAGTACTTCATTGCATTATTATCTCAAATAATAATCATTTGTCTGTGTGCCGCCTTTTGATGAGAGGGTTGGCTATGCCCTGGGTGGGTCAACAGTCCAAACAAGACAAATAACCATGCGAGTGCCCCCTTAAGCTTTCGGTCAGGTTAAAATCAATTATCCTAACAAAGATGATTTTGGATGGTGGGAGGAAGATAGAGTACATCTGCAAAGATGCGATGAATGTGCAAATTCCTTACACAAAAAAAGGCCCCAGCCAGAGCTCAAACCAGGAAGCCTGTTGCTTGCAAGCTTAGGTTGTGTGGTGGAGTCACCCTCAGCTCATGATGTTGCACCTATGTGAGCTTTAAGATGTAAAAGGCAGGAAATCTGTGATTTTGTTGGTGCATAACAGTAGATTACTGTCAGATTAATGCTATTGAAAGGTTCTCCGAGATGCTTCGCTATCCTCATTTTAGGGATAAAGGATTTTTCGGCTCAATTTTGTCCATATCTTTAAAAGCCAGAGTGACACTTGCTGCAGTTTACAACTGTTACAGGAGCTCTGATCATATTGCGTCATTCATTGTATCACTGCTGCTGGGCTGATTTTAGTTACTGTTAACACGTTTTAATGTCGGTTAAGTAATAACAAAACCTGTGGGGATGTAGGGATGTAACTAAATGGAAAGGAAGAGTAGTTTAAAACATCTCTTCCCTGCTCGATCATGGGGAATGTGAGATTGCAAAAAAATGAAAATAGAAATGCACCGACAAAGTCCAAGTGGTAACATTAGGAAACCACTTTTACTGTAAGCGCTTCACCAATCCATGTCTGAAGGGACACGGTAACAGTTCTCCATTCAACTTTCAATAAGAGCAGACAGAGACTGCAAACAGAGAGGTGTATCTGCCCCCCCGATAATATTCCAAAGAACGTTAGCTGTGAGTTGCTATTCATTTAGATAAATGTGCTTCTTGCCAATGTTGTATGCGATATAAAAAGCTCAGTTCTTGAAATAGCCTGATGAAAATTTTAATAACAGCTGTTTTTCACTTTTTCCACTACATGTCCAACTTTCAAAAAGTTTGATACATGATTCTTATTCTATCCTAATGTTCGGAATGAATAAGCATGATTCCATCAATTTAAAACGTCTTCGGAGAATCCGACTGTAAACTAGATAAAGGTTGTGAAGCCTTGTTCCAGACATTACTCATACAATGCCTATGTAAAACTCTCCATGTGGATCTTTTGACTTTATCACTTTGAACCTGAACGTATTCCTTAGAGCTCACAGTGCTGTTCTACAATACAAAATCTGTGGAGGTTTTCGGTCTCCTCCATGGAATCTTGACTTTGCAAGAACAAACTCAGAGGACATCGTATTTCTGCCCACAAACAGTTTGTTTGTGCAAATATTCTCATAGCCTTCCATTTGGTGCTTTAGCCCATACGTTTACACCTTTGCAGCTATGAAGTCTTCTTCTCGTGTTGGTGTCTCATCTTTGCCCCATCATTCAGCGGTCCTGACACGGTGAAGACCTTTAAACAGCTTCACTCTGAATCCCGAATCTTAGCACTTGTAGCCTTAACAACCCCTGCTCTTCATCACAGCATGCCAAGGGATTGTGTGTGTTTGTGTGTGTGTGTGTGAGTGGGTGGGTTTGTTGATGCACTCTGTGTTAAGACATCTTGCATGCATGTCGATTTTGTTCACTGTTATTGTTGTGGGTTTATTTGTCTGCTCAGCCATGTTCTTAAAGGTGTTCACCTGCAACTAGGTGTCTGGATGTCCCTGAGCACACAACAGTCACACACACTCGCAAACACACACACATATCTCTATTAGCAGTATAGTAGTGTTAACAGTGTTATGCCATGCGTGAACCTCCCCACCTTTCCCTCATATCTATGCAAAGCTGGGGTCCTGTCAATCAGTCACCTTGGTGACATAGAGCTCCACCTCCCCAATTAGAGCTGACAGGGCAGGATTAGGAGGGGGGCGGGCCCCCTCCGACCTGCCTACGTGTCAATCACGAGCCGGGCATCCACACGCCTGTTTACTGTCAGATCCCATCTCCGTCTGTCAGACTGCACGGCAACCGTCGCCCAGGGAGGAGGGGAGGAGGATGGTGGGAGACAGAGAGGGGGGAGGAGGAGATCTGATCGGAATTAACGATGCTTCTCCCCACAGACCGGCCGTGCTTTTAATTCATGAAAGGGATGAGAGGAAAGTGGGAAGAGAGAAGGAGTGATAGAGGGAGGAGAGCGTTTAAAACCCAGAGCAAGGCCTTCTTTAGAAGTTTTTCGAGTGATGCTTCTTCTCTCCCTGACAATCACTTTTCTTTTCCCACAAACTTTCCTTCTATCTTTCTATAAAACTTGGACTTCGTTTGGAAGGAGTGATTTGTGTTGTGTTATCATTGGCTTTTTCTCTCTCCTGAAACAGTTTCTTGACCCTGTTTTTTTTTTTTTTTTTGTAAAGTTGCGCAAATATGCATTTGTATATTTTGAGTTAGAGTGTTAAGGTCAATTTATTTAGTTCTGCTCATGCTCATGCAAATGTGTGTCTCTGTTTCAGTAGGTGTCTGGGGGTTAGGGTCCTGTCTACACACCTACAGTTTGTGAATACATAATGCTGCTCTGCTGCTTAGATTGCGCACCAAAGCACTGTCATACATTCACACAATGCTAATGGGTGTGTGTTTGTGTGAATCCTTGGCTCTGTGGCTGTTGGATTGTGTGCATTTCTTCTTTTCCAGGGTCCCTGGTGATGGCCAAACTTTGACCTTGGTGCCCTCACTCTAATCCTTTAGCAAATGAGGACTATGTGGGACTGAAGGGGGTGCATGGAGGTCTGCGCCAAGCCACAGTTTTAGGATTAGAGGACCAGCGCAAAGGTCTAGGGGTTATAAGGGATGAAGAGGACGCAAACAAAAGATTGTAGGGGAGGAAAAGGAGGGATATTGTCAGCATTGAGTCGGTCACTAGTGGTCTCATTACCTCAACGAAAGAGGTTGCCTTTTTTGTTGCTTTGTCTTTGTTTGATTTTTAGTCTGCAGGATCAAAATGTATGTACACACCATGATCCAGAGAAGGTTTAGGTTTTTTGTGTGTGCGTAGAGCGTGCTAGAATGTGGTTACTTGAATGTTAACTCATATGCAGTAAAATAGGGAAGGTTCTTTGCTTCTGTACCTATATTTGCATCTTGCCCATTAAAATTTGAATGGAACTACTGCCACACATTCAATGAGGCTTTTCATATTTTTAAAAGTTGTTCCCACTTTGTTTCACTCATGGTCTGCTTGAACTTTGTGAATACAAGTACAACAATATACGTTATGTGCATCTTCTGTATTTTTTTTTCCCGTTTCGCGATTGTCAAATAGAGAAAAATAGTTAGAATGTTGATTATGCAGCCGGGACCGAGGTATGAGCTGCTTATTTTTACAAGCCGCTGCACCGTTTCTTGAATATATCATATCTATTGTGTCTATATGACTGTCAGGGTGAATTAATAAACGTCAGTTTATTCTGAACAAACAGTCTGGCAGCTATCCCGCAATATGCCGTTGACAGGCATACGTGTACCATGTCATTTCCGCTGATACCTGTATGTTCTCCTTATTTGTCGGTACCAGACATATGTGGACATGTTTGTGTTTGTGTGTGTGTTTGCATTAGTGATGCGTTGCGGGGCTGTGTCAGAGACGCAGCTCAGGTGTCTGCTGGTGTCTGCCGAACGACCTCGCTGCAGGGAACAGGCTATCAGGCTGAGAGGGAGGCTATCATGTTAATTACTTTACACACACCCTGCCAGCCAAGCGTGCAACACAACTGCTGAGCCTACACACACACACACGCACACACACAAGCGCTCGCAACTTTAGCATGCACACTCTTAAACACACACAATTGTGCACACCCCATCATCCGTCTTTCTTTCATTTTGTCGTTTCTCTGTCTTCCCACTCTCACTGTTTGAAGGCCTTGGACATCAATTCCCCTTTGCTTTCAAGAAAGATTGTTTTATATTCTAATCAATTCAACTCCGTCCTGTGAAATTAATTGACATTCATTCAATGATTTTAAATTCCTCTGAGGCCGTTCTTTTGTTTCAGGCTGTCAGTGAGCTGCAAGTGAGATCGGACTAAATGTTTTGTCATCTCACACTCCAGGGTAAGCTGCTCCAAAGCGTGAGCGCCTGAGGTCAACTTAACCTCCTCGCAGCCTCGTCTCTCGTTCTCCGTGGAGCTTGTGAAGGAGAGCAGGGGGGGGGGGGGGCAACACAGCCTCATGATCAGAAACCTGTGTGAAGCGCATTCTTCTCTGGCACCCTTCATATATCTCCTTGGGACCATTTTTTTTTTCTTTTTCCCCCTACCGTCACGTCAGGGGTTTTGAAAGGAGGAGTCCGACACTCTCAGGTCGGGGAAACAGAGGAGTGGTATTGGCTGGGGCAGGTTGATGCCTTTAGTTAAATGATGCTGGCACGCAGAGGGATTGCTTTGGGAAGTTGTCATCCATCATGATTTTTAGAATGACTCTAAGCAGCGCTCTGCTTTTGGGGTTGTGGTCTGGGATCCAAGATTGATGTGAGGTGGATGTGTGCGTTGGGGGGGGGGGGAGGAGTGGAAAGAGACTGCATGTGCTTGTTTGTTGAAAATAAGTAATGATTGGCCTGCAGTGAAGACTCTTCCTCTGGAGAAGTTTGTTAAATTTTTCTCTCTGATCTCTGTTGTGGAAGCTAATGAGAGGCCTACTGATTAAAGTTCAGATTATACTAATGATTAGTGCAACATTTAGTGAATCCTACCATGAGGCAAAACGTCTATATCTGTATATATTTAAAAGGGCTTTGATTTCTTGCGTGTCTTTACCTCATTTTGTGAGAGCCTCTGAACACGCTTGAATGCACTTGCGTTTAGATTATTGTATTTCTTTTAACTCAAGCTTTTAGTCTGTGCTCACCTCTCCTCTGCCTTCCTTTTCCATCTCCTGTTTTCCTTCTCCAGGACCTAATTGTTTGTTAATCTTGATCCTGATATTCAGAGGGGATTTCAGAAGAGATGGAGATGAAGAGTTGTCTTTAGAAAAAATAAAAACAGAAGGCTGACATGGAGTTTGGAGTTGAGGGTAGATTTTTAGAGGAGAGGATCGAAAAAGGAGTGAAGACATGAAGCATAAAGTGGAGATGAAAAGAGGGTGAAAACAAAGCATTTAAAGCCTGTAGGTGGCTGGAGGTGAGCAGGGAGCATTGGGGGTCTGAGGAGGTGGGGTGTAGATGTTAGATGCTCAATCAAGCTGTGTGAGGACAGTGTAATTAATCCATTGAAGATGTCTGATTGCAGATGACTTTGGGAATACCAGAGTGGTGGCTGGGCCTAAGGGAAGGGGGAGGGCAGGAACAAGATGGATGCAGGGATGCGGGGAGAGGAAAAGCGGAAGGGCAAACAGAGGAAGAGAGTGAGATTAATTGAGACAAGCGAGATACAGTACCTTTTAAATGAGAAGGATGAGTTCAGTGACAAGGTAGAAAAAGGAAAAGCAGGAGGAAAAAAGGAAGAATTGATCATGTCCAGGTTAGGGCTAACCATCACTCACAGCATTGTAGGGATTAAGACCTCTACCAGAAGTCACACGTATGTAAAGAAACATGAGGTTGCTAAGTCATCCTGAGTTTTTCACTGCTAAAACACTTTGCGGTGAGACAAATGACTGGCTATCCTGTTCTAATGCTAATATGCTTTTAAGCCACTATTAGCTGGCACAGGTTTGCTTTTTTTGTAATGGACTATTAATTTGTTTGAATGTATTTTCTCTCTGTGGCTACAGTCGGGTGTTGGGTTGGCTTAAGCTCAGCTCCAGAACACAGACACACACACACCCACACACACGTGATTTACAGTTGTTTTAAGGCCAAGTCTCGCCAGTCTATTTCAGTCTGATAAAGCTGAGTTATCAACAGAATATTACAGTGAGCGCTTATCAAACTAATATGGTAATTTGGTTCAGTTGTGATTGAGTGTCACCATTCAGGGGTTTTTGCATTCATGTCAGAGCAGCTTTTAAGCTGCATTCACCTTGTTGCAGTTTGTTGGTGATAGCTACACAAATGTTTATTCTTCTAAAGACGATAGTAAACTTTTTTGAGTTTTCACAGGGCCTTCAACTCTCACGCAGACAGGTAGAAAACGCTGACAAACATTGGACTCTTTAAAGGTCTGTCAGCTTTTAGTGCAGAAAACAAAACAAACGGCATGAAAAAAGAGGACTTTTCCTTTATGCAATTCAATTCCAAGGGATTCACATACCTGTTCACACAATGCAGTCTCTGCCTTGCCTTACATTTTCTGTTTTGACTGTTTTGGCGCCGTTGTTATGTTTGGATTTATCTCTGTTGCATTTATTGTCTGCTTTTAATGTAAATCACCTAGTGTCGTCTGGTTTAGCAAAGTGCAGGATTGAACTCACTTCATTTAGCAAAGTGGACTTTAAATGAACAATTACTGTTTGATTAAAGCTGCTTTCAGCTTTAATTTCAGTGTTTACATTCATATTAACTAAAAAGTACAACAACTGCAACCCCACTGTGCCTAACAAAATGCAACAAAGGTTTCGTATTTTAACTTTTGCCCTGATTTCAGTCAGCTTCAGTACTAAATGTGGCTAAATAGTCATAAATGGGCTGCTTTGTCACTAAAGAAATGCTTGAAATTTCACTTTTGGACACCAGGAACAGTTGTCATTTAATTGTTTTTCAGTCCGCCATTGTTTGATATCTGTCACACTTTGTAAGGAACATAAGAATCCCACGCAGTGGCATATCAGAGAGGAAAAATGCTGTGTACAAATTGCATTTTGACCTCAACAACATTTTCCCAGTACTAGGACCTAGTCTTACCTCGACTCTCTTTGTTTCCTCTACGGGAGCCGGAGGCTTAAAAGAATTGTGTTTTTCGATTACATGACACAGTGCACTATGCTGTGCAAGTCCAGCTCTGCACAGCCAGCTCTTTCCTGGTCTGCTTTCCACCACAGACAAAACCTGTTGAGCCTTCAGATCAGCTGTTTATCCTTGTTTTGTCTGTAAAGCTGGGTGACACAAAGATGAGAGCCACAAGGTTTTTGTTTCTTTTTCTTCTTTGTTTTTTTAACACTACATTGAGTATGCAGATATTCCTATTCGAAGCCTCTCACAGCTGAGGAGTGTAGAGCGGTTGTTGCGCTGAGTCTGTTTGAGACAGGCTTTTGTTTAGTTGGGCGGGGTTTGAGTATCATTTGACAGTGAACGTAATGACTGAGCGCTGTAAAACCGTGCAGAAAAACTAAATCTTCAAATCGGTAATAGCAGATGACAAACTTGCTGATGTTTTCTGTGGACAAAGGAGATTTTTGTCAAGTGTGTGACAGGTTTCAAACAACTCCATGGAATAAGAAGTGGTGTGTGTTTCTGCAGACAAGTTTAGGATAAGTTTAACCTCTCAGGTGGGTTTGTCTTTCTAGTTTTTGTCTCTATTTCATTTTTTTTTTAGGCTGAGAAATCAAAGCCAAGCGGTTTTTCGTAACAAAGCTTAAGATGATAATGAGTTGTCTCATGCTGCTATCAGATATGGGTATCCTGAACAAATGAATTCACACTGCCTTCAAACTTCTCTTGGATATGGGTTTACTGACTTGAACTACAGCCACCTCTGCCAACATCCATATCCGTCTTCGCTGGTTCAAAGCCTTCTTCTTGTGCTGGAGCAGTTTCAAGAAATATAAAATGCCTGCAAGAAAAACACACACATTAAGCATTCTAGTTGTTTTAATAAATCTACTTTTATGTTTGATGACTGCATTGGTTGGATGCTGCAAGAAATAAATGTTACTCATCTGTCAGCATTATTTATGAAAATATAGAGCTTAAAAAATCCAAGTAACCTGTGAGGAGACACATTGTCGAGGGGGAATATTTAGATAAAATTGAAGAAAAAAAAGATTTACACTCATACCTGGGATTCTGAGATTGTGTGTTAGGTTAAAAAAAAAGCCCTGTGTAGAAATTTGCCATAATTCCTGGTGCATCTCTGTATCCTGTATCCTCTGTATCCCCCTTCTGGGGGATTTTTGTCTCCAGTTTGATCTCCAGCAAATTAAACTCATGATAAGCTGGAGAAACTCACTTGGCCTGTCAGGATTCAACTGTTTGTCTTAAGATATCAGTTGGTCTTGCTGTATTGTGTGTATAAAAGGGCTGCGATTCCTGGATTGTTCATCTGATACAATTACGGCCTCACACACCCTTGAAAGCTCAGAGCTGAAGGTCAGCACTTGAACCTCATTTAAAATCCAATTTAGAGTACAAAACCAAAACAATGTAATCACTGTCTTACTACTTATGGACTACACAGTACATTTGTCCACTTTCTGTCATCTTCCAGTAAAGATAAGACAGGATCTCTTTTTTCTTCCAAGCTGCTATACAGTAAGGGAACAAGATACAATTTTATGTTTTGGTGTGGCTGTGCTCTCGTTTTTTTTCTTTTATTCATTTACAGAAAAAGTCATGTTTAATAATTCATGCAAAAATGCAACCTCTAATACATTCAATAAATTATTGAAAATGAGTATGCTACAATTTAGTCGATCGCCTGTTATGTATCAACATGCATGGAATGGTCAAGGTTTATTAAAATCACTATGGAAACAAAGAGGTAGTGCCAAACAGCAAATCTGAACCTTATGAGAATGTACAGTTATGTGACTATTCAGCAGTGTCAGAGCAAATAATTTAGAATTCAAGTCAG